GTTAAACTTATATTAAAGTTTTTCTTCATTACCCATTTAAGCCATCTCCAGCCATTATTAGTCTCAAAGTGGGTTCCTCGTCACCGAATTAGAAGGATATGTGTCACTCATGCCTACTTAGGTAGTTAGTGAAATAAGTGTATCTATAAAAATTATTAAATGACCTACAATTGGGAAAGGGTTAAGTGCCTTTCAGGTACAAACATGGAAAGTTTAGGTACCAGGTCTGGTGTAGCAATGATACTGACTGTGAAGATTCTGTATTGCTTAGAACTACAGCTTTAAAATCTCAATCAATATTGCTCAGATGTATATCTATCAGGTTGGCATTGGGAAACATTCATTGTTTCATTACTACTGATGATAGTCTAGGCCTACATTTAGTTTAAAAGAAGTGATTATTTTAATTGTATACTTTTATATAAGTATGTTAACTTTTTTTTTATATATGTCCAGCATGGATTTGATTCATGGTCAAACAATGGTTTGTTTGGCAATTGAGTAGAAACCAGCCAAATAATATACAGGTTAATAGATAATGGCTGAAGATATGAAATTTTGATTTACCTCCATAATAGTCTCCCCTTTATACTGATGGAAGCAACAATGTTATTTTATCTATTATGAGGTGACTACCATGATATTTTTTGTGCCAAATGGGCACATTGGTATACATTTTTATGTACCTAGTGTGATTTTTAAAGCATTTAGTACAAAGCATGTTTTAATTTCATGACTTTGTAAGTGATAAGATTGATGCTTCAGAATTTTTGTTTATTTCTGTGACTGTTGGACAAAAAGTCATGAATTTAAGATTTGAAAAGGTTGGGAAACAAATATCTCCAAATGAGGCAGTTTTGTTTCTCTAATAGGGTTATAAACCTGAGAACAAATTACATCTAGAGTGGAAGAGGGTGCAAATATACAGGAGTTAAGAGAAGGTTTGATGAATAATAGGGGTTCCTAGGTTGGATTATTGATAAGGTTTCAGTTTGTTAATGAAAAAAAGTTTTGATAGTAAGGACATTCTTGAGGAACTAGAAGACCTTTTGATGTCCTGTAGCTTTTTTTGCTTAAATTTAAAAAGAAAACACTAGAGTTTAACTAAAAACCCTCTATTTGTGAACTAAGATTGTTTCTTATTTTCAGACAAGGTTTAAAACAAGATTGTGAGGATGTTCGAACACAACCCCTTCTTCACATCTTGCAAGTGATTTCAGAGTAAGATAATGTGTAAAGAAATAGAAAATACATTAATAAACAGTTTTTTAATGTAACTTAAGTTCTCTATGAATACAGTATACAGTATTGGAAATAATTATGGAAGTATACAATTTATACATGTACAAATGATTGAGCACTTTATATAAAAATGATATTAAATATGCAGATCAACAAGTTATATGAAAACCACAGCCAATGAAAAATTTTAATGGAACAGAATGTATCAGAACTACATTTTGACATTGCCATTTCATAGCTAGTGTGATGCCTTAAAAATGTTTATTTTTGGGAAGGGTATGTAACAGCTCTTCTCAATGCAAAATACTCATACACACAGATCACAAAGGTGTGTTCAGATATGGATATGTGCTTAGAGAAAGCATGCAAGGAGGAGAGTTATGATCTCAACGTAACACCCTCACAATAGATGTTTTTGAAGTAGAACCTACACTGCAGGGCTATTATTAAAATGGACAATTGTCAGATAGAGCATCACTGTAAAGTCATAGTGAGGCTTCAAAATTGTTTTAATATAGCACTCTCAACCTCTATATAGGAGTCACAAACAATGAGCAATGGCAAATAAATGGTGAACATATTAATGGTACAATGCATTATTACAGTTGTTTATTGTCACCAGATAATTTGACCTTCAAGAGCACACATCCAGTTATGCTCATTCTACTGTTTGTGGTCCAGTGCCTATTTTACTTCTTGCTTTGGTTATCTCTTCTCAGCAGCAGTTTTGAGTGTATCTTACTGTTCTGAAATGAATATTCATACCAGTATTTGCAGCAAGATGTATTCTTTACCGTCATCATTCTCATAAAGAACATGCACTGAGATACTTAACATCACTTTTGTAGAATTTAGTTTTCTACCTTGACCACATCTGTTATTAACAGTATCAGTTTCATGTACATTCTACATAGTCATGCATACTACTCTTACTGAAACATGGATTCTTGCTAAAAGTTTTGCATGATGTTTCCAGCAAAAACTTGGTTTTTGGTTTCTACTTATCATGGGGCCTTTTAATCCTAAGAGACATAACTACTGCTGGCACAGTATGACTGTCTATATCTTTTGTAGGCTTTATATTGGTGTGGCACTTGTGATTTGGTTATATAATGACTAATCACAGTGTAAACCATAAATGTGACTTTACTCTGTGCAGTTCATTTTTACACAGTAAAGGTGTGGTATTTCCATAGCACTTACTTTTTATACTCATTTTCCTTACCATTTCCATAATTATTTCTAATACTGCAGTAAATGGAAAAGAAATACTGAAATAGAGATTGCTGTTCTTTCTTACTGAAATGTATTAAGTATTGAAATGTTACATTGATGATATGAGTCTCAGTAACTAGAGGAATATTCTAATTCATTAGATGCTATATAATACTTATAGTTTTACTATAAACCCCAAAGCACTTATTTGTATTTGCAGTGTTAACACTTTTAGCAAGGCTAAAATATTTGTTGTGAGGAGAGAAAATTCACTATACACTGTAAATAAAAAATTCAAAGATACAGTTTTTGAGTGGATTGTTTATTTTTATTTAACTTTTTTACAATGTTTCAACCACTCATGTAGCCATCATCAGTCTCTATTTTGCGATCGATGTGATGACACTTACATAGGTGAAATGGGACACAATATATGCAATAGGATAAAAGAACATAATTCTCCATCACACATTTACGAACATCCAATTAGCATTAACAACTTTCAAATATTATACAATGAGAACAACATTGATAGAAGAAAATGAAAAAAGCATTAATTATTTGTGAACTAAAATCTGATTTAAATCAAAACACAGGTGTTACACAATATGTTTTTTAAATTGGAACAAAATGCTTGCAAATATTTCACAAAATATATATATATAAAGTTGCCTGGTGATAGCCATGAGTGGTCGAAACATCGTAAATAAGTTAAATAAAAATGATTCACTCAAAGCTGTATTTTTCGACTTTTATTTAAAAGGTTAAAACATGAAATAGACGCTGTACTATTTTTTCTGATCAGACCATAGTATGGAATTATTTTTCAAATTGTGCACTATAAATAACTTGTAGTTTCATGTGATTGTCATGCTTTTGTGGCCTTCCATTTTACTAAAATTGCTGTGAAGAAGTGATGATTGAAGTGTATCATGTTAGGTAAAAAATTTTAAACACAAGGTTTTAATGCTTTCAGTTATATATGCAGGTTTAACAGATGCATTCGTTGCTTTGAAGGAGTGGTCTATACAGTTAATTATCTAAATAACTGAATCATTTCTCTATCCAGCTTTGCCTTCAATTAGTTTGTGGGCATTTAAAATTAAATGTTGACATTTTTAATGAATTTTATCATTGTAATTTTCTATATCCTTTGAAATCATACCTCAAGTTAAGAAATGATGGCAAAACAAAATAGATGAGATTTATGTGTGTCAATAGTTTATTTTCTTAACCAGATTTCAACTTACATATCATATCTTATTTTAATCTTGGCTTGAGCTTAAATAGTACTGAGTAATAGCAGGGTTATAGTTTTCAAGAAAATATGATTGTGGAGAAACTGTGTATATTTTGTTTTCAGTAATATTCCTTAATATTCTTAAATTTCTAGTTTTCTGATCCCTACTTTATTTAATGATGCCATTTGTGGGTAAACACAAAGTGATAAATTTCATGTCATTTCTTGTGATGAATTAGGCTTTTCTTTTTTTGATAATGAATTTTGCTGTTACAAAATTTACTATTTTATTTATATTTGTAGTCTTGAATATAAGCCATATTACATTTTCCTGGAGAATGTGAAGGGCTTTGAGACATCGAGAGCAAAAGAAAAGTTAGTCAGCACACTTCAGAGCTGTGGATATAAATTTAAAGAATTTTTACTTACTCCTACTCAGTTTGGAATTCCTAACTCTAGGCTGAGATACTATCTTCTTGCCAAATTTAGGTTTGGGACATCATGCGTTAATATGACTCAAGAGGTAATTTTACTAATTAGGTCTGTGGACTTGTGTATAGTCATCTCACAAATATTTTTTTTTTTGCTAGAGATATTGTCACATGGATTACTAGTAACTAGAAACTTGCAATTGGTTGAACTAATAAATAATTGAAAGAATTAATAATACCCAATTAAGTATGAATGAAGTCTACCTTTTTGTATTATAATCCTGAATTTTTAAAAGTTAATCAAATAGCCTTCTTCATTGTATAAATAATTTTCTTGACAGACCGTGAATACAGTAACATTTAACCTTTGAGATACAAAAGTGCCCATTATTAATATAAGAAGTCTTGCTATTGGATCATGTGATATGTTCTCTGTCACTGTAAATACATCTGGTTGTTTTCCTCACAGATGCTAATTCAGAGTTCCACTTCTATATGAGTGTAAAGAAACTCAAAAAAATACTTAAAAGCTATTGGAACTTGACTCTACTTCAAAGATATATAGGAAAAAAAGTTATGACAACCTAGTTTACAAGAATAACTGAAAAATCTGAAATAAAAATTATGTTTCAAAATGCAGAACTGTAAGGACAACTGTGGTCCTTGAACAGGTTAATTCAATTAGATTGTTATACATTTTATTTAGACTAAATTTTACTAATAACTTGCTCTAAGATCAACTATTAAGAATTAAAATTTTTCACAGATTTAATAAATGAAATTTTTAAAGATTTTATCATGATTTTTAAATCAATTATACTAATTAGGCTAACTGTAACATTTCATATAGGTTTTAATTAATCTGTTCTAATGCAAAATATGTATTTTATGATCTTCATTTAGCTAACAACTTCCTTACGTTGTGAGATAAAGAAAGAAGACATGCTGTTTTTCAAGAATTCTGGATTAGATAGTGAAATAGACAGTAGCAACACAGCTGAGGGTGTTGTTTGTAGAGGAGGGAATACCACTGATGATGAGAAAACCCCTCTCTCATTCTACTTAGAAAATAAACCTGATTTATACTTTCAAGACTATCTTTTGCCTGACAAAGTTCTTTTGAAATTTCCCATGATTTTGGATATTGTGGATAGAAGGTCACTGCAGTCATGCTGTTTTACCAAAGGGCAAGTATTTTAAATGGTACATTTAAGTACAGTAATAGAATTTCCAAAATGTATTTGGGGTTGTTTATAATTGAAGATGATAAAATATATATTTTGTATTACATGTCTATTTAGTTTACTCAGCAAAATTTCAGTAAAAGCAAAACATTTACAGAAAAGCTGGGTATTTTAAAACAATTTCTGATATGCATATCAGTAAGTCGCGTGACAACCACAACGTATATAAAGTCACTATGGAATGGCAACTATCAGAACTACATTTTGGCATTGTCATTTTATAGGTAGTGAGAAGTCACCAAAAATGTATCACTTTTGGGAAAGGTATATAACAGCCTTTTCCAGCATAAAATATTCATCCACTTTGGCCATAAAGATTCATTCAGATCAAGGAATTTAAAATTTTCAAAATGGAGATGTCTGTTATGCTTAATTTTATTGGAAAACAAAGAAATATGGATCAACTTGTAGAAACAGAACCATCCAAAAAGAAACATGGAACAAGTTGTACTCTAGCCTCAATATACAAATTGTGGTGTCTTGTTACTGGTATCTCAGGCAACAGTACGCAACATAGTCAAGAAGGAGCTGTGTCAGGAAGAGTGATACATGTCACATGTACATGAGTTGCTTCCATGACATATCTGTCAACTGCAACATGCTACATGTGGACGTGCATTGTTGTGGAGAAGAAAAAAAACCTTTCTGATTGATGAGTGAAGGGCTTGATTTAAATGTTCCAGTTGCTGACTATAGATCTCTGCATTGACAGTTCACTGTGGATTGAGGAGTTCGAAATGAATTACTCTTTTGATGTCCCACCAAATGCAAAGCATCACTTGGAAGTGGTTTTTGTCTAGGACTGAGCCATTGTTTTGGCATTTAATATTTGCATAGAGAATCCATTTTTCATCACCGGTGAAAATTCTGTCCAAAAATTATTCACGCGCTAGAAGAGATGAAGCAGCCTTCACACGTTGGAAACGATGATCATCACCACATTCCTTAGATCTTTGCTTATTGTTTCATGAGAGACTTGCAATTTCAGGGCCATTTCACGAGTGTGTTGCTTTAAGTTAGACCCAACAAGCATCTTCAGAGCACCAATATCAATTCCAACATGTCAGCCCCTGCCATCAAAGTTTTTAAGGCTAAAGTCACCTGAACGAAATTTGCTGAACCATCGTTGACACTTATGAACATTCAAAACATTTCCATACACTTCTTTGATATTCATTGTGGCTACAGAGGTGTTGTTTCCCTTCTTGTATTCAAACAGCATTACATGCCGAATGTGTGTCTCATCGTGTGCCATCACTGTAAGGCAGTTTGTTTAACTATTATATGTGATGTAAGTGTTTTGAGGATGGTTAATGAATGTGTTCCAAAACATTAATTTCTTGACGACCTACTACATATATACTCATCTTCTGTACTTATATGATACAATGAGGAATTCTTCACATAACTGTTGTTAACTGATAATTTTCTACAGAACGAATCTTGCAAGGCTTATATGTGAGAATGCCTGAAAGTACAATTTTTATCCTAATTTAAGTTACAAATAATTTTCATACGTTAGAAAAAATGTATTACCTGGAAATAATATCCAAAATTCACTTACATGGAATATATTT